CTCCCTCCCTCTCCCCCTCCTTCCCTCCCTCTCTCTTCCCTTCCTCCTCCTTCCCCTCCTTCCCTCTCTCCTCCTTCCCCTCCTTCCCTTCCCCTTCCTCCCTCCTTCCCTCCCTCCCTCTCATGCTTTCTGTTGCCTTGTTGTTTGGTTTACTTTTATTCATTTACTTTTGCTGAATGTTGTGGTGAATAGCTTTAATCTTAGCAGTGGGAGTCAAGGAGGGATAAGAATCTGTGAGTTTAAGGCCAGCCAGGTACTGGGAACTGGACCTCAGTCCTTTCTGAAAGAACAGCAAGGACTCTTAACCACTGAGACATTTCTCCAGACCTTGGTTTGTTTGTTTGTTTGTTTAAGATTCTCATGCAGCCCAGGCTGGCCTGCAGTCTCTATGTAGCCAAGGATGACCTTAAACTGTTCGTTCACACCAGGAATCAACCTCCTAAGAGTGGGGATCTGCTGGTGTGAAGCACCACACCAGCACTGTGTGGTGTTGTCTTGTTTCGCTTTGCTTGTTTGAGACAAGTGTCTCATGGAGCCCTGGCTGGCCTCTGACTTGCTATGAAGTTGAGGCTGATCTTGAATTCCTGATCATTCTGCTTTACCTCCCAAGAACGGGATTATAGATAAACAGCATGGTACCTGGCTTATTGCTCGTATTTTTAATAGTGAGTCATGCTTGGGGACATTTACTTTCAGCCTTTGGCATGATCTTGAATGCCTCCAAAAACTTGAGATAATTCAGTTTAACAGATATAATTTAAAAATTAAGAACTTAGCTGGGTGGTAGTGGTGGCGCACGCCTTTAATCCTAGCACTTGGGAGGCAGAAGCAGGGGAATCTCTGAGTTTGAGGCCAGCCTGGTCTACAGAGCGAGGACAACCAGGATTACACAGAGAAATCCTGTCTCCGAAAGAAAAAAAATTAAGAACTTAAGGTTTTCTTCAAAATGAAATTTTATGGGACTGGGGAGATGGCTCAGTGTTAAGAGTCTGTTCTTCCAGAGGACCCAGATGCAATTTCTAGCATCCACATGGTGGCCCACAACCATCTAGACCTTCAGTTCCAGGGGATCTGACGCCCTCTTCTGGCCGTAGTGGGCACTGCATGCATGTGGTGCTCAGACATGCAAGCAGGCAAAACACCCATATACATAAAATAAAAATAAATAAATATAAAAAGTATTTTTGTAAGTTACAAGTTCTTGAAAACCCGTTGTCTTCATTTGGATCAGTGTCTCCTCTTTGTCATTAAATGTAGGTGTCAGCTGATGGTTATGAAGTAGAAAACCTCATCTCTGAAGACCTCATAAAGAGAAGCCATGGCTTTAGGACAGAGTATTTCATTAGACCACCAGTCTATGTGACAGTTTCCTTTCCCTTTAATGTGGAAATCTGTAGGGTTAACATAGATCTCACAGCTGGGGGATGTCAGAATGTCACTGGCCTGGAGTTATACACATCTGCCTTATCTAGCAGAGCCTCTCGGGATTCACATGAGTGCTGGACTACAGACCCGATGGAGCTATCTGTCCCAGACAAGGAGGCATTCACCTTGGTAGGCAAAGTCTTACTGAAAAACCAGAACCACGTGGTGTTCAGCCACAGGGGCTTCAAGGCCAGGCCACCTTTTAGCCCAATGGAAGTCACACTCCTCTCTCCTGCTGTTGTAGCCCAGGAACTCTGGAATAAAGGGGCTCTTTCCCTTAGCCACGTGGCCCACCTCAAGATCGGAATCACCCATGTGACAGGCAGTGGCGTCTCTTGCATAAAGCGTTTAGAGGTATGGGGTCAGCCAGCCAAGACCTGCTCTCAGGAGGTGATAAACAGTGTCTTGTTGATAGCATCAGAAAGCATGCCTAAGGACTTGGGTCTGCACACTCCGGTCTTGCCCATGGAGAGTGACTGTGACCCTGAGGGTCAATCTGAGGGCCAGCAGGCTCCCTGTGTCTTACAGGAGATGTCTGAGATGGTTAATGATGTGCCAGAGGAGTTCCTAGATCCTATCACCCTGGAGATCATGCCATGTCCCATGCTGCTTCCCTCAGGAAAGGTCATTGACCAGAGCACTCTGGAGAAGTGTAACCTCAGTGAAGCTACTTGGGGCCGAGTGCCCAGTGACCCTTTCACAGGATTAGCCTTTACCCCACAGTCCCAGCCCCTACCTCATCCTTCCCTGAAGGCCCGGATCGACCGTTTCCTCCTCCAGCATTCTGTTTCTGGCTGCCACCTGCTTGGGAGAGCACAAACTACATCAGCAATGACCCCTTCTGTCATTACCCTGCCCTCAAGGAAAAGGAAGCCGGAGCAGGCTGAACACAGCTCAGACTACAGCCTTGGCATGGATGCTTCTTCCTCTGCTCCCAGCCCTCTGCTCTCACCCACTACCTCAGAGCCTACTGCCAAGAAGATGAAAGCCCCCAGTGAGCCCGCCCTCGCGGAGATGGACTGTTCAGCAGGTAACTCTTCTGTGTCACGACTCTGTCACCCTGCCCTTCCTGCTGACGTGATGCCACTGTCCTTGGCTTCATGCTTTACTGCTTAGATCCCTGAACTTGGGGACCGTGCTTCTTCCTTCTTGTTTTTGTAGGGTATCTCAGTTTTGTTCTTGGTCCATAGATAACTTGCAAGTCCCAAAGGGTTGCCTGTGTTCTCTTATTATTCTGAGATTTCTTTTTTCTTTTTTAAATTTTATTTGTTTGTTTGTTTGTTTACTTATATATAGGAAACCCTAAGGAAATAGAGTTTGCCTATGTAGTTTTGGAGCCTGTCCTGGAACTCAATCTGTAGACCAGGATGGCCTTGAACTCAGAGATTTGCCTGCCTCTGCCTCCTGAAGGCTGGGATTAAAGTCATGCGCCATCATTGCCACCACCCGGCTAAATTTTATTTTTATTTATTTTATTTATTTATTTTGAGAGAAAGGGTTTCATTCTGTAGCTCAGGCTTTTTTAAAGCTCACTGTGTAGCCCTGACTGGTGTTGGATTGTGTTGATCTTCCTGTCTCAGTCTCTGAGTGCTGAGGCTACAGGTGGAAGCCGCCACATCTGACTGAGCTCTGTCATCGTGCTTTGTGCCTTCATCCAGTAATCGTCCCATTGCTGGACTTACCTGCTTTGTGTTCCCTGGCAAGATCAATGCTTTTCCTCTTTCAAATCCTCCATTCAGACCTGCTGGAAGGAGAAACAGTAGGTTCCCTTAAAGCAGACCATGTCTTCTTCTCTGGAATCTTCTATATGTCATGTGTCTAGACACCTTTGGGGTACTATGTCTAGTCTTCCCAGAGCAGATTGATGGAAATGCATTGTGGTTTTCTTTGCTGCACGTATCCACGAAGTGCTACAACACACTGAGAAGTGGAAAAATGTGGAGTTGGAGGCCTGCCTCGCGGGAAGAAAACATGCTCAGTAAATGTGAGAGTGAGTTGTATTGTTTCTGAGTGTGAGATTTAAGCTGCCTAGCTTCCCGCCTTTCCCCTCTGCCATCACCGGTGGTTCCTGGAAGCCGTAGTCCTGCCCCCTGAGCAGTGCAGCCCGGGCTGGCTTTGGAAACTTCTGAACCTGGAAATGTCTAGTGTAACTTTTCAGACTGACAAGACATGTTATTCATTTGTTGTTATTGTTGTTTCTTTGTTTTGATTTGGTTTTTTTTTTTTCGAGACATGGTTTCTCTGTGTAGCCCTGGCTGTCCTGGAACTTGCTCTGTAGACCAGGCTGGCTTTGAACTTGGAAATCTGACTGCCTCTGCCTCCCAAGTGCTGGGATTAAAGCATGCACCATTGTCTTAGAGTTTGTATTGGTGTGACAAAACATCATGACCAAAAATCGAGTTGAGGAGGAAAGGGTTTATTTGGCTTATCCCTCAGCATTGCTGTTCATCACTGAAGGAAGTCAGGACAGGGACTCAAGCAGGGCAGGAACCTGAAGACAGGAGCTGATGTAGAGGTAATAGATGGGATCTGCTTACTGTTTTGTTCCCCGTGGCTTGCTCAGCCCACCTTCTAATAGAACCTAGGGCCAGCAGACCACGGATGAAATCACCCACATGGCCTGGGCCCTCCTCCATTGATTACTAACTGAGGAAATACCTCACAGCTGGATCTCAAGGGGGCATTTCCTCAGCTGAGGCTCCTTCCTCTGATGACTCTACTGTGTCAAGTTGACACACATTCAGCCAGTACAGCCACCATGCCCAGCTGACATGTTATTTTTGTAAAAGACAGGAAGATAAGAAAGAAAGGAATATTGCAACTGGAGAGATGACTTACCCATTAAAAGCACTCATTGTTCTTCCAGGGGTGAATAGTCACATCAGGGGACTAAAAACCTCCTGTAACTGCAGTCCCATGGGCCTGATGCCCTCTGGCTTCCGCCAGCACCTGCATACAAGTAGTACACATAAACCCACATAGCTGGGTACACACGTGTACACAGGAAAATAAATAAAAAATGTTTAAAGGAAAGAAATATAAAGTATCATTTCATCTGACACCACCTGAACAGAAATTCTGGTGCCTTAATTAGAAAAATTGTCTCTAGGTCTCTTATAGTATGTTTTGAAAAATAGAACTTGGCATGTGGGCCTGGAGAGATGGCTCAGCAGTAAATAGCACTAGCTGTTCTTTCAGAGGATCCAGGTTCAGTTCTCAGCACCTCCATGGCAGCTGACAATCATCTGTAACTCCAGTTCCAAGGAGTCTGATTCCCTCTTCTGGCCTCTGTGGGAACCAGGCAAACATACATGCAGGCAAACACTCGTAGACATAAGTTCTGTTTTGTTTTGTTTTGTTTTAATTTTAAAACAAACATAAAGCAACTTAGAGCATAGTAGCACATACCTTTTATACCATAACTTAAGAGGCAGAGGTAGATAGGTCTCTGTGAGTTCAAGGCCAGCCTGGTCTACATAGTGAGTTTCAGCCCAGCCAGGGCTACACAATAAGAACCATCAGAAGAACAAAGTCAATCAAAAACAAAAACCAACCAGAAGAAAAAGCAAAATCAGTCAGATCTTTGGCTTTTTAAAAAAATTACTTATTTATTTTTCTATTATCAGCTTGATACAGTACAAATTCTTATCCTAATAGTGAAATGTTTCACTGAGGCTTACCCAGTGATTGGGCAAAACCAAAACTTATTATAAGCCACAGTCACCCTAGGGTCCCCCCTGCTATGTAGCCTCCCTGGTTCTGTGGGTTGCAGTCTGATTGTTCTTTGCTTTATATCTAATATCCACTTATGAGTGAG